TTATGCTATGTTTAAGTAGCAAAATCGACAAACTATGGTGATTTCTTAACTGATTTCCCCCTTCTTCCTTTTCTTTGGACAGAAGTTTGAAATATCTTGCATAACAAAATTTGAGTTATTTAGTTTTTTAAGAACTATTTGACATCTTGAAAATGTTCTTTTTTCCCTGCACAGTTTCATAGCACTGAGTATGAATCCCTTTCTTTCCAAAGTTCTGATTTTTTTTTTTAAAATAATTTCTTGAAACCCTTGTGTTTTTAACAGTGGGGTTTCTTTTCCTCGCTTACAACCTAGAAAGCGGCGCAGTTTCTCCAGTATATTTAATTCTCCTTTTAAAATCTTTTTGTAGACTTCTGAAGTTCGGATTCTGAGCTTGGATAATATTTTAGTTGTACATCCATGTCTGGCCACTACTCTTCCTTTTGTACTTCATCGGAGCATGTCTGGTGAAGTGAAGGACACAGTAGCAGCAGGGCCACTCTCATAATCTGAAATCATCTACCAGTGTATGAGCTTTTCTCTTACTTGCCTAAGTTTCAGTGGGACTCACAGATTAATCAGATTTACGTACGTGAACCGTACACAGTGCCCCACTGACTCTAGAGAAAAGCTCTAACACTTGCAGTGCAGCCTGGTGTGGGGGTTTCTTCTTGTTGTGGGGTTTTTTTTGTTTGGTTTTTTTTAACACCTCATTTAGGCTTCTCACCTTGGGAAGTTGCAAATGGTGATGTGGGAGGTGCTGTTGTGAGAGACTTCATGTCGCCTCAGTGTAGTGTATCTAAACACATGATTGTTTAGATATAAACCATGTGTTTTTCCTATTTAATTTGCTTCTCCTGTCCCCCCACCCCCCAGTTAGTTTGCTCAAAACTTTCTCTTGTTTCTGAGGTGAATGTTTGGACTCCTGTTTGCTGGCATAAAGACAATACTGTATTTGCGCTTCCATTGATTCTCATGATGAATCACACTTCTTGTGATTTGCCACAGGAAATGAATGTTGGTTTATGGTTTTGTGATAGATATACTCTGCTTGATTATTAATATGCGTATCAGACTTTATCAGAAGCAAAAATGAAAATTATTTCTGCCACCCATTTCTTATTAGTTAATAAGAAATTAAGTGGATTTAAATATTACTTTGTAACTGGGTTTATACATGACTCTTTCATTTTAGCTGTTGTATTTGGGGGCATCTCCCCAAATATATTTATACCCAATTTATATTTAAAAACAAGAGAGTAGAAGCTGCATAGTTTCAGGAAGCATCATCGTTTCAGGAGTAAGGAGTTATTCCCTGTCAAATTAGCAAACTGGCAAATATGTTAAAATCGCTGCAATACATTTTTAGAAGCCTTTAAACTTGGAAGCAACTTCTTTTGGAAGCATCCAGTGTTTTGTAAGCACTGTCAGTGATGACAAAATTTTCTCTACTGTCATACAGGAGCCAGTTTCAGAAGGACCAGTTCCTTGGGTCAGTAAAAGCAGCGTAACGTTTGTGGCAGAGCAGGTCTCTCATCATCCTCCAAGTAAGTTGACAATAACTTTGCTAATGGAGATGGCAACAGTAAAGTCAGCTCTTGGTTTAAATCTTGGATTTACATTTTCTCTCCAAGTTTAAAAGCTGAAGGTTTTCTCTATAAACTGTGTTTGTGAGAAACAAATTGCAAACTCCGTTGCCACATAAGTATGAGGCACTTTGAGATATTTCGTGGTGAATGAATTTGGGAACAGAATTAATGTTTTGTGCTGCTATTTTTAATACCTTTTTCTTCAGTTTCAGCATTTTATGCAGAGTGTTTTAGCAAGAGGATACAGTTCAATGCTCACATATGGACCAAGTCAAAGTTCTTGGGAATGTCTATTGGGGTTCATAACATCGGGCAAGGTATGTGTGCATGAATTTAACAATAGAAGAGAAACAAACATTCTGCAACTAAATTTTTTCCAGAAATTATTTGAAGTCATCCTATTAAACATAAGGAATGTTTGATTTTATGTAATTTCAGCTTATGTATCTAGGAACCAAGTGATTCCTTCTGCACGCTTCATGTGCTGAAAACACTTAGGACCCAGTTTTTCATGTAAACACAACTCTGCCTGCCTGCGCTTAGAAGCTAGGCATTCTCAGCAACTAAATAATGCTCTTCGCCTTTCCTTTTGATGGTACCTGTTTTTAGTGAATTATTTCAGGAGATTGTTATGAAAAGTTTTGTAGAGGTTTTTAAAATATGTCTTTATTTTTCTTTGATAGGGTGTGTCACATGCCTAGATTATGATGAACACTATATTTTGACCTTTCCTAATGGTTATGGAAGGCAAGTAAATGCTCTATTCAGTATTTCCATTTTTTTAATGCCTTGTAGTATTTCATGCTTAATATTTATCAGTTAAAAGATTGTAAATATATACATATATTTATAATTACAGGTCTATTCTCACTGTGCCATGGATAGAACTTGGTGGAGAATGCAGTATTAATTGCTCAAAGACAGGTTATAATGCTTCCATCGTCTTCCACACTAAACCATTTTATGGAGGAAAGAAGCACAGAATTACAGCTGAAATTTTGTAAGCAGGTTTCTTCAGTTAATCTCGCTTTTTCTCTACTTAAATTCCGACAGTGTTTTTTCAAAACAGTCAGGAGTGTAAAATACTGGAACAGCTTTTCTCATGATTACCTGTCACGGGATGCCATTTTATAGCCAAGAGTTGTGAGAGGAAACCTGCATCCTACCTTGTCCTTCTCCAAAACGTTCTCAGCTGTTGGCAGAGAGAAATTTAAATTTTCACTCCTGAATTATCCGAAATGTCATCATTATTTCTCCCAAAAATAAAAATACTGAAGCAAGCCTTGTAACACTGCTGTCCGTAGCATGTCCTTAAAGCTCTGCTGCCAACTTTTACATATTTATTTATACCCATGGTTTGGTGGCTTTTGGTTAGGCCCTGTGCCCAGAGCATAGAATTCAGTGGAGATGCTCATCTGATTTGGAGATCTGCTGTAATGTCAGTAAGTGATGCTGACAAAATGAGGGAGCTGCGTAACTTGGTTTTAAATCGCCTCTCAACACACATTGATAGACGTCATCTGTGAACTAGTGTTGTGTTTCCCGGTAGTCTGGGGGAAAAGCTTTGAGTTTGCGAAACCTTTTTAAGCTTAAACTTATCCCTAAATCTGTTTCAAAAGCCTGTAACTAGTTTCCTAAACTCTAAATGCAGATACAGCCCTAAGGCAAGACCTGTCTTATCCTGGAACAGCACTTCCTTTTCAGGTTTATCCAGTGGAACTAATTCATGCAAAGCTAGTAAACAGAACCCTCATCTTTTCTGTATTGGTGATGGACATTTTAAGGGCTGATATAAATCGGACTGTACAGCAACTACAATAAAGTTTTGATCCTTCAGGGTCTTTCAGTTACTCTAATACAACTGAGAAATGGCTGTTTATTTCTGTTTAGTTCTCCTAATGACAAGAAACCCTTCTGCTCAATTGAAGGAGAATGGAATGGTGTCATGTACGCAAAATACACAACAGGGGTAAAGCACCTTTTTTCTTTTTTTAATCAGAAATGGAAGATTGTGCTTAAAAAGTTTTGTTTGTTTGTTGTTGGTTTTTAAAGCAAATATTAATAGTTGGGAACTCCTATGAAGCTGTCCAAAAGATCACAAGAATGCTGAATTCAGGATAAATGTCCTGAATTTACTTTGTTAATTTATTATTATGGTAACCTGATCTTTATAGAAAGAACAGAATCTAAAGCATGACGGGTTTTCATATATTACCTGACAACCAGTGTACTAGAGTGTGAGGGTATATAAATTTAAAATCTGGATAAAGAACTGATTTTTTTTTTTTTTAAACTCTCTAGGAGAATGCTGTCTTTATAGATACCAAGAAAATGCCTACAATTAAGAAGAAGGTAAGAAAACTGGAGGACCAAGACGACTTTGAGTCTCGCTGGTAAGAACTTCAGTTAAATGGGCAAACTAAGACTTCTTTTTTTTAGTTACTCGAGTTTGCAGTACACAGTCTGCCTAATGGTACACTTAATCCATTCGCTGCGTGGACAAACTGTGCTCTTTATTAGTCTTTGCTGGGGGACTGAGCCAAGGTACAGCAGGTTGGGGCGCTCGGGGGGGAAGGGGAGACTGGTTGTTCTCTGTCACATCCTCGTTGGGACCAAATGTTCCAGGGAGGGCCAGAGCGCTTGCTACAGCCTCCTCACGCCTGGCACTGGACAGTGCAGTTCTGGTGGTTTAATATATATTGGGGTTCTCTGCCCTTTTGATAAAGTGAGGCCTACTTTATGTCAAATATTGATGAGTAGTAGCCAGTAGTAAGTAAGTTTCTACAACCTATTAGCACTGTGCTTCTATAAAGCAGTCTCCATTCAAATTTCTTTTTTAAGCTTATGGAAAGATGTAACCTACAACTTAAAAATTAGAGACATCGATGCAGCCACAGCTGCAAAGCACGCGCTTGAAGAAAGACAAAGAGCTGAAGCCAGAGCCAGAAAGGAGAACGAGACCTCATGGGAAACAAGGGTGAGCTTTATTTGAACAGTGCCCTCTAACCTGTAGCATTTGTTCCTTTCCAATTGGGTCATGAAAAGCTTACATCTGATTATACCCTTTCTTCTAGTTATTCCATGAAGATGGAGAATGCTGGGTTTATGATGAGCCACTATTGAAACGACTTGCTGCCAGTAAACATTAAGTGGGTTATAAAACCAGAAAGCATTCGAGCCTTGGCTTAGCAAAGTTTACATCTGATACCAAGGTAGTCATCAGTTATCACGTACGTACCGTTTGGAGAACCTGACCCCTCCAACTACAGTGGTTCCTATCTCAGGGATACTGGACTTACTGATGCAGATAAGCAATTAAATGAAACAAGAAACGTCTTGGCTGTGCAGTAACTTGTATTGGACTCCGCTAGACTGGTAGTGTATTTGGGCTTCAAAGGCAGGCTCCCGGAGCCCTGTTACTGATGCTTCTAGAGCATGGGAGAACCTGGGCCGTGAAGCGTGTACACTTTGCACAACCACTGTGAAGGCCATGGCATTTGGTATCAGTTGTGTAATAGTCCTGGGTCCTGCATACTTAAAAAAAAAAAAAAAACAAACCAAGAAAGAAAATGCAAGACGTCATTTCAATCTAGCGAATGTTGGCAATGTGTAAATATGAGGATTCCTTTGATGGGACAATTTGTTAGAAAAACGCTACATAAATGTTATCTTCCACCTGTATGATAATCAAATCTTTCGGCATTTCAGCATCTCGCCCAAAATAACTTTGTTATTTTGAGATTATAATGTAACCATAGATAATTCTACTCAATGCATCTTAAAGCTTCATAAAATAGATTTTTCAAACTTCTCTTATGGACTTTTTATTTATTTCATAATAAACCTTTGCAGCAAGACTGTGTTTTCAGCTGAGTGATGATCAATTGTTTTATGTGAAACGTATTAGTTTTTTGTTTTTCCCCCCCAGCCCCCCAATCCTTGCAGCTAAACCTACCTCTTCAAGTAGTTACAGAAGTAGCAAAAGGAGCAGAATTTCCAAGCACCCACAGGAGAGGTTTTCTGGAATCTACAGCCAGCCTTGGTCTCTACTGGCTCACCAGCACTTTAGGAATCTCTGCATTTCTGTGGTTCTGCTCGAAGTTAAATAATGGTTGAGTAAGTAGCTAAGGGTAGTATTCAACCTATTTTTCTTTCCACAGTTAAATCTGGCTTTTATTTGATTTCATCTCAGTTTTGTCTATATTGCGCATACAGAAAAACTAAAAAAAAAAAAAAAAAAGCACCAGTGTCAGATGGAAGCCTTAGGCTTTTTCCCCCTCCCACCTGCTCTGTAACTCCTGCAGGAGAACTGCAGACAGCTTCCTTTGAGGAGCTGTAACTGCTGTTAAGGGGCTGCCACAGCACAGCAGAAGACAGCCTGAACAGAAAGGTGCAGCCCCCCTTCTTCCAGCCCCTTCAGGAGGGGAGAACGTGGCATCTTCCCGGTGGGGGGGGAACTCTCCCTTCCTTCCAGCTAGAAGCCAGGCTGGGCCTGCTCTTAATGAGAAAGGTTGGCTGGAAACTTTAGGAAAGCTTCCTCTGTATCTGAACAGGCGTCTTCATCGCAGCTAACACTACAGCCCCCTTTTAATAATAAAAATAGGTTTGTAACATTTATGTTGCAGAAAGCACCTGTATTACACACCGCTGCAGGGCAAGATGTCAATTTTATTTTAATATTTTATGGTAGGGGAGAACATTCAGAGTTGATGTGTAAGCTTTGATGTCCTTGATGGAAGTAACATGAGTCATCAAAGAAGATGGGGGCAAGAAAATGAGATGAGGTATTTCACCAGATGAAGAATTCTGTACTTCTGAGACAGCTGTAACCTCTGAGTCCCCTTCATGTTTGCCATATCCAACCACCTGGAAAAAAGTTACCAAAAAAGAAATTTGGCTCTCAGCTTCTCTAACTTAGATCTCATTCAATGTCCATGCGCCCTGAAAATTAAATAAGGATACTTAAATGTGATTCAAACAACAACAATAATTAGAAATGCAGAAACTATGAACAGCAATGTGGATCACCACATCAGAAGTTAGATTACAGAGCTCTTCTACCCCACCCTTCCTGGGCAATCTGAGGTTATTAAAGTTTGGTATTTCAGCAGCTGGCAACCACTCACGTGCACGCTGAGCACTTTCTTCTTGTTGCTTCTGTGAGCTTGGAACCAGGTGACCAGGTCCGATTTTGTAACAGACTTCAGAGCTTCAATCTAAAACCCACAGGAATCAGGTTTAAGTAGCACAGGGGTGATTCCAGTAATTTTAAACATAAAATACAAACTAGATCCCATTTAAAATGTTCTTTTATCTAAAATAGCATGTAGTTTTAGAATCGCCTGATTTAAGTTTTGCATTTAAAACTGCTGCAAGAAGGAACTTGTGAGGGTTCTGTTTGGCATTGCTCAACACCACGGAGGGACCACCAACCTCGCGGGCAAGCCTGTCGAAGAGATACTGCTGTGTCACAACTTCATTCCAGTTCCTGTCTACTTCTTCTCCGAGATGGGAGTCTTCACATTCTTTAAGTTTTATCAAAGCTGTAACCTACATTTAAAAAAGACAAAACAATTAGTTTCAAAGGGTTTAAAACTACCTTAATTTTCTGTCACATTCACTGAAGTTGGAAGAAAACCTAAATTACATTAACAAGGTGGTTCATGGCTTTCCACCTTAACTAGAAGTGGCCAGAGAGCAAATGATTAGAGGATGACTGCAGAACAGGACTGAAAGTGAGTACTTTGTCCAGAAAAATCTCAGAAATGGGCCAGAGAGCTGTCACCCAGTCCTCCAGTTTAGGTGTCATTTAGCAGTTGAAGGAAGAGCTTTCAAAATCAAGTTTTACCTGGGTGCTAAAAGCATCTTCAGTTAAATGCTTGATTTTCTCTTCAAAGCAAGCAAGGAACTCCTCTATCTTCTTGTCAACCAATTCAGAACTAAAAGAGAGTTACAGAATTCAATTAGGCAGGAAGAAGCAAAAAACTGTTACTGAGGGGTAAAGCAGCAGCACAGCCCCCAAATGACAAGGAAATGCTCAGGGACAGGCTGGCTTCCCTCCTCCCCTGAAAAGCTCATGCAGCTGTGAACACCATCTTCTCCAGGAATAAAACCTAGGCTCTGATCTTTAGTTCTGTTCAGTCCTGTTCCAACACCAGGGCTGGAGACAACCACCAGCAAGAGGAGTCGCTGCTGTGAGGCTGCTGGGGACCTGAACTGTGGTTACCTGACAGCAGCTGTGACCCGATCCAACAGAACAAGTAGAAAATTAAGTGAAACTCCCTCAATAATAATTCTTCAGCTGGATGTTGTGTACATACACCACTTACTTACACAAAACACAGCATGCAAACATGGTCACATAGTTTAATGCCTCGCTATATCCTGTGAGGCTCAGATGTTCAGTGCCTGAATACATGCAAAAAGTCCACTGGCTGCCTTGTTAACCTTGACTTTTCTAAAACCAGTTGCCATGAATTTCCTGTGCTGAAGTCGTCCTTACTTGGACAACAGCTGCTGTTTACAGCTGGCAGACCCAGGAGACCCCTCAGCCCTGGCAGCTGAGCCGCCGCCAGGTGGGCATGGTGGACACCGTGCAGTAAGGGTGCCAGCAGCTCAGGGGTGACTCCTGCGGCCCAAGCCTGGTAGCAGTGACCAGCATTAGCCACGGAGTGGGCACTTACTTACTTGTATTTAGTTGCCTGGGTTGCTACTGTGACAGAGAAGCCAAGAATCCCAGAAGTATTCCTGCATGTAGGGTACACGTGGTAGCTTAAAAAGAAAAAAAAAAGGGGGGGGGGGGAGAAAAGACACTGTAATAGTCATTCCACAAGCACAACTAAATTTCATTTACAGGACACACTACAAGTTAAAACTGTTGGTACTTTAGAAAGAAAAATCTCAGATACAAATTCTCAGTAGCCTTCCTTCCTTTATTTCCTGCATCACTGCACGTCAGTGTTTTCTAATTTTTAGGAAATCCTTTTGAGCTTGGCAGAGTATCTCTGTCTGTGTTCCCATAAACTTAATTCCTCAGAGTGACAGACCCACAGCTGTGAAAAGCCCGTTCCAGTTCCCTGAGGTAGAAGGGTGCCTCTGAGGGAGGCTGCTGCACACCACAGAGCCGCTGTGAAACCAGCCCCGGGAGTGGGGAGCCGATTTAGGAAGCAGAAGGAACAACCTGATGCTGAATAATTCTGAGCTAACACACTGGTAAGAGATGCAATTCTTGCAGGCCTCAGAAGCAACTTGGCTGCAGCTTGTGTCAATGGCTGCTCTTGGATTTGATGTGTTCATGTTGCTGTCCCCATTACAGTAATTGAGGAATTAGCCACTGTGCTGGAAAGGTTTCCGGAGTAAAAGTCCTAGGGAACCGCAAAAGTGGGTGTGTAGGAGCTGTCCTCTGCTGTGAACTCACCCAAGGGTCTGCTTGGTTCTCAGGAAGTCAAAGCAAGGCTCTTCCATGTGCATCTGAAACGGAGCACAGATGTGTTACTGCAGAAGGGTTGCATCTCTGCAGCCACCCCTCAGGCTCCACCCAGATCACAAGACATGAAAACCCCTGAAGTGCTGCCTTTCCAACTGCACCCACTGCATTAAGAGAGGTCTCAGTCTTCTGGGTGGGCAGCTGCAAGAACGGTCTTCTGTACTGTCCATTGCTGCAGCAGTTTGGGGACCCTATCCCAAACACTCAGAATTTTAAGCAGAGTGAGCAATAGATTGGTGCTGTCCCCTTTGCCCCATTTAGCCCCAGGGTCACCTCTTGGCCTCAAGCACCGTCTTCAGGGGAGACACTGAAGAGTCAGGAGACACAAACACTGACTTACCACAAGCAGCTCCATAAGGGTATATTCCCTTAGGTTCCTGGCACCTGACTAGAAAGAAAATGAAGAATTCAGGGTGATTTTGTGGAGTTAAATGCTGTAGTTCAGACCAAGGTGACAGCTGCGGCACACACCTCAGCCTGACTGCAGCACCAAATTACAGTTCACAGCAGGGACAGCTGGAGAGTTCTTGTTTCCCGTGGGGGTTTCAGAGGAGAGGGGAGGGGCTCAGCCCAGGACCATGACGTCAGTGGTGAGGACACCAGTAAATCACCAAGGCACAAACCCAGCTACTAGCACAAGCACAGGCCAGGAGGGGAAGATGCCGTTTTTGGGGAACGCCACACGCTGCGAGAGCCCACCTAGGTTTAGCCTCTTAGGCCAAGGGCGCCCGCTTACGTGAGGTTTCAGTGCACTCTCTGTAACACCCCTGTCCAGAGGCTGCTCTCAAGACTGTGATGCAAGTACAGCCCCAGCGGCAGCAGCTACCAGAGGGAACAGACCAGCACGCACCAAGCTAATGCATTACCTGGTAATACACTGTCACTTCAGAGTTGGCATCGCCTTTGTTGAGAGTTTTCACCTTACAGAGCAGATGCGTATTTGGCAAATCCACCACCCGGAACTGAACAGGGCAGGGATGGGCCAGAGGAGCGAACTGGAGCTTTCTGAAGGAAGCACAGACAGCAAAGGGTCAAACACCCGCTCACATCTTAGCCCAAACCAATACAACACCCAAGCATTTACACAGTCTGACATCATTTTCCCCTTCCCCCAACCAGAACAACATCCTGCTTGAACTGCCACGATGGACAGTTGCCTCCTGCAAACACCAGCAGCCCTCTGTCCAGGAGGGGGAGAAGGGAATTTGCATCGCTCCCACCGTGGCCACTTCCTCCAGAAAAGATTGACTTGATTATAGTTTCCCCACAGCGCAAGAGTCAAGAGATACTCACTGAACAACGTAATTCAGAAAATCCTTTGCTTCCTAGGAGAGAAAGCATAAACATAAGTTTTATTTAGAAGAGAATTATTACCTCAGTTCATAGCCATGCACCACAGTGCATCGCTTGAGAAAGTGACCCCCTGAGGAAAGAACAGCCGAGCTGCATTATGCCACCTACATCCCCGCCCCTCGCCTTATCCCGAGGCCCTCCAGGCACCTCCGCACCAAGCTGCAAAGCAAACAGAGCCTCCAGGCAGTTCCTTGCACTGTAACTTCCCCAGAAGGAGAATGCAGAAGCCAGAGACATAGCGTCAGCCATCACAACAGCAAAGGGTGCACACAGGAGGAGATAAGGCCCCTCTCTTGTGCATGAAGTTGGAGCTCTGGGAAGGAGACTCTTGGGCTTAAGTGGAAGAAATGGGAGGTAAGAGAAACAGTACAACTGGTGTAGGAGTTACAAGGTTGCACGTGCCACACTGTCAAAGGAGCTTAGCTCACACAGAGGCTGCAGCAACAAAAGCATTTTGAATGAAGGTTCTTCGCAAATCATGATCAGATTATCAGACCTTCTGTTCCACAGCTCAGGAGGGGACAGCTGACCTTGCAAGAATCTGACCTCCCAAAGGACATTAGCACGTTTTCTTTAGGAGGCTTTAAACAGTTTGAGGACAAACACCAGCAGCTAAGAAACTTTTTGGCAGAAATCGTAAGGACAGAAGGTTTCTCTCCCATGCCACACCCAGGCACTCAATGAGGCTAGATACATGGAGCTAAGCCCCATTATGACCCTATTTTAAAAAGTCTGACAGGACTATGTGTGACTTAGTCCCAGGGTAGAAGACTTCGATGAATACTGCAGGTGTTTAACAAGACTGAAGATGACTGGACCTCAGTGAGGTTTGAACAAACCATGCAGGCAATCAAATTTCCAGGATAAATGTACTTTGAGGGAAGCCTCCTCCTGTGGCACCACCATGGCAATTTCTCAATATCAAATATATCAATACAGCAAACAATACAAAAAACGGGGGCAGCAGGGGCAACAGGCTACAGGCATTATTTCCACCACATTTTTCCCTCTCTGCAGTTTAAATCCAAATTCCTGAACAAACCTCCCCGGTGGCTTATCTAGACGAGCGTTCCTGAGTTGTTAGAGGCGCAGCTGCCCTGTACCAGCAAGCCTCCAGACTGCCTGCACAGAGGAGGCAGTCAGCTGGCAGGCGAGCGCTGGAGTTGTGGCGACTGTGTCAAAGCGCGTTTTCAGACGAGGTTTCAGCGTGTGTCAGCTGCTGAAGCTGTACTTACTCTGCTTGTGAAGTTCCCTTGTACGAGGCCCTCTACAAAGAGCTGTGATTTAAAAGCCTTAACAAAGGACGAGAGAGACTCAATGGAAAGGCCGTTCATCAGCGTCTGGTATTTATCTATCATGGACCACCTGCCGTGCTCTAAAATCAGGAGACGCACATCCCTGCAATGCAAGAAGGAAAACAAAACTACAGGCCATCAAGAGCTGTTTAATGTAAGAGATCCCGTTCCTGACGCAGGATTGCACTGGAGAGTGGGCGATCGTCCCCAGGAGCATTGCTGTGGGTGATCCTGCCCTCCCTCAGCACCTGCTGTTGGCTACAGGTCACCTGAGTACAGCAGCTACCTGGATGTCCAATTTACCCACACACGTGATATGCTAGCTGCAGAGCTGCTGCTTGAGCTCTCTAAGCCACAAGCTAACCCTAGGACAAGCCTCCGTGAGCACAGAGCAGCAATTCCTGAGCTCTTCAGCTCAGCCTCAACACCTACTGCCCAGCCATTTCTTGCCCTCCCCCAGAACTCACTTGGCCAGAGTCTCGGGTTTGATGAGGATGTTGAAGTATGTTTTCTTCAGCTGCTCTGTTATCATTTCAAAAACTGCTGGCGTAAAACTGAAGTCAGACAAGTAATCAATGATGAGCTGAAATAGAAGCTGTAAAGAAAAGAGTTTTAGGTCGGGGTGGGGTTTTTTGTTTGTTTTTTAAAAGAACCAATTTAACCTTAATCCTATAATAAAAAAAAATCATCAATATTTGGGCAACATAAGAGACGCACAAGGGTTACTAAAGCACATTCCTCAGTTCTGTTAGCTGTTCTTCCCTAAACAATTCTATACCAAATTACAGTCAAGTTTCAAAAGGACTGCATTTTTAGAAAGTGAATGAAATAAGCTCAATATCCCAAATCAATGAGTTTCCACATTCTCCTGAAAGAAATGTAGCCTGTAACTCCAACACTGCTGTATTAGATATTCCAGTTTTTACTTTTACAGATGACCAGCACGATGGCATTGCAACAAAGCAACATGCGTGATTAAAAAATACTCAGGCGATGCTATTTGCACCTCTGGCTTTTTCTGTTAAACCTCACATTAATAAGCCTGATAGATGATTGATGGTCTTGTTAAAGCTCCAGTCAAGCTCTTACAATGAAAGTCTAAGGAAGTTTGGTGGTTCTCTCCTCCCTTCTTTGATCACTACGTCCTCTCTGTTTGTGCGTGCCATGTCTTACACAGCCAGCGTGCAGAGAATGGGAACAGGGATCCCCCAAGCCTCGTAAGGTAAGCTCTTAGCAACCCAACAAAGAAAAACTGCACCCAAAATGAGCATGTTTGGCAGCTGTGTCTCCAAAGTCAAATTGTAAACAAAGCCTATTTTCAGACCTACTTCTCCAGACAGTGTGCAAAGAGCCTTAGCTTATAGATGGAGAGGCTCTAATGCTCTAAAGGGACATGGAAGACTCATAGCTCTTTTGAAAGGAAAAGCTGTTAAAGTCTTAATGGAGACACAGTTATTAATTAAAGGAAGATTTCTTTTAAGTCAGCTTGGGGTCAACAATTTGAGCTTATTTAGTGAATAAAACTATACCTTTATACACGTAAGCACATGAAAAAGCATTTGCTGCGTTATCCTGTATCTGAACAGATACACAAATTTTCCAATTTAAAATACCTCATCTAAACATTCAAGCTCCAGCTGGCTAGGCTCCAGCTGCTAGGACAAAAAGCACATACACTGGAAAGCAGCATGCACAGAAGTATCTAGAAGATCAGCAGTACTCACAGGTAGTTTATGATTGAATCCTTTGACTCGAATGACTAAGCCATGCTCTCCAGCTACTAGCTTGTATTCCAACTGAGCAACGTCCGCTTCATACGCTGGTTCACCAAGATTGTGGGTAAGGATGTTTACAAATGTATCAAACAAAACTATGCTGGATGGAGAAAAGGGCAGAGGGTTAAAAAAAAGAAAAAAAAAAGAAGGAACAGAAGAAAGATAAAAATCAAACCCAAGGAGTTTGATGGTACACACAAGTTCTCCAACAGAAATGAGTATTTGAGTAAAATGAGATTCAAGAAGAAATTTTCAACAAACTTGGAAATACAGAATGCAAGTTTCCTTTTGTCTAGAAAGCACATGACACTACTTAACATTTTAACATTCAACTATTCTTTGCAATGAATAAGATTCCAGCTTCACGTAATTTAGGATTTCTTCAACGTAGGAACGCACATTGTAACATGCCGATGCTCAAAACATTGAATAATCACAGAAAATGAGATTATTACACTTTGTGTAAAGGAAGGCGGGATGGATGGACTCAGTTAAGCTGAAGACTTGAGTAATGAGATGACTATTTATCAAGATAAAAAAAAAAAAAAAAAAGCTGTAGCAAATCAGGCTACAATATGTGAAAACTGCAGTCCGTGCTTTCAGATTTTTGTTATTGCCTGGATTCCAATTCAAAGTTCAAACTAACAAAGATGAAAACAGATTTATAAAGGCTTTCCCAAAATATTACCTGTGCAGGTTTCAGCAGGCTTATGACAAAAGCCCTGTGAAATTTGTTACAAATGGCAATGCTAGCCTAAGACTAGCAGAAGTGCAGAGCTATAATCTTGAGCTGTAACAGTTGGTTTCTAAATGCTGCTGATAGCCTCTTCCCCCGCTCCTACAAGCTCCCAATTGCTGGTTCAAGACACGACGGTGGACTGCTCTTTTCAGGACCAACTCCTTCTCCAAGCAATTCCTTCTGGTATGTGCACTGCTGCTGTTCTATGATTTTTTTTCCCCAAAACTTGTACTGGGGAGTAACACTCTGTGGAACTATGCATCTGTTTGCTACAGTACTGACTTGCCGTGGAACCACCCTCGTCAAACTACACATAAAACCATGAAGAAAGTGTAAGAACATGGAGAAAAGGAAGCCTTATTCGATTCCAGTTTAAAATTAATCTCTCTTCGTGGTTTTTCACTAGGTATGGTAATTTAGTTACTCTGCATGATAAGCATAAATACTGTAATCCTTACTTCTCTGCAGACTGTTGTATCAATGGAGAAATCAGATGAAATCGAACATAACCTGGTGGGGAAAAAGAACTTAAATGAGCAGTTGTATAAAAAGTGACAGCTTTTTAAGGTTAAATATATTTCCATCAGGTCGTTCTTTGGTCACAATTTGAGTCTAATAAAAATGGTAGCTCAGCTATAAGAATATCTTTGCTTATATTAAGTAATCATCAAACATCTTCCCTTTTTCACTCCAAAATCTTCCTTTAAAAATACTAAATATTAGAAAATACAAAGGTGTTCTTTGAGAATACTAACTCACATGGCATGACCAATATAAATGAAAAGAGAAAACTCCACAAAACATCTGTTTAACAGATGCTAAAAGTTGTGAGATTCTGCTTGAAAGCAGCAATGTCTTTTCCCCATTTGTCTCAGATCCAGGCTGTATTTTTCTCTTTCTGTAGAACAGACTACAGTCTCTTCTAATTAATGTGTTCCTTCATTTTCAAGCCCTTCTCTCAGTATTGTATTACCTCTGCCAAATTCTGTTTGCCAAATTCTCTCCATAGTCTGACACATTCAGAAGTCACTACGTTTCAGTGATTCCACTTTTTAACCTGAGGTATCAGCAGGGTTTCTTTGTTGCAACGTAGTTTACCTGCTTATCTTCTACTGGTTAAAAGGACCACAGAAGAGCTGACAGTAAACACTGGGTTTAATGGTCATGGGTTATTTGCCTTCAAATAAATTCTAGCTGGTAAAAACAAGGACTTCCTATTCTCTAGAAAGCCCTGCAGCGTTTACCTTTTGGAATTTTGAATTTATCATCCTTCCTGTACCAGAGACAGCCTTGTTGTGTGCTTAGTGTTTTGACTGGATATTCTGTCTCGGGGCAGTCGGCAACTTTCAAAGCAAAGTCAGTGGCTAACAAAAAGAAAAAGCAAACCAAAACCAGAAGTTAGTAGGTTTCACAGCCACAGCCAGGCTACATGCATAAAAGTCTTCAAAATTATCAACAAAACACATTTTTCCCCTCCCAGTTTGCTAAATTATACATGATAATGCCTCCATGGACCCAAAGAACATTTATTTTTCAGTTCCACATCAGAATAGTGGCTCAGCAGCAGGGCAGAAATGGTGATGTTGCATTCCATCCAGGATACAAGTTATGGGTTTATTTTCATTTGGTTTTGGCAACAAAGCCAGATGGTATTTAGATGCTTTCAAAACGAGCAGGATTAAGCAAATAAAATTGCTCTTCTCGGGTGTCCGGAGCTCTGTGTTAAGTCTCACTGATTGTGTGAGGCCTGCTCTGTTATAGCTATATGACCTATAAGTCTACACTTTAGAAAAAACTCAGTTCTTATTTATAAAAGAATATTAAATAAAATTCAGGTGAACAGAGCTCCCACATTTTTTAACTTGCAAAACCAGGTTGATGTTCAGATGGAAATTAAGGATTGTTTCTAAACCACAGAAAATTCCAAATCAGTTACTGGGGGAAGATTTCACTCATGCTCAGATGTCTTACCTATATATTTGTTTTCTTCTGGAAGGTGTAAATCTGGATTTAACTCAAAGTCACTGGCCCATAAATCACTCCAGTACTTGTCAATATCTGTTAAAAAATGTGAAGTGCATTTAGTTGAACAGGAAAGTAATGCTATCTTATTTCCTAGACCAGTTCTCTCATCTCTTGGCTATCTCCGTGAGGATTTGTGGTACAATAGGAGTTTCTTAATGTCACCTGGTTCAGCTTGAATCTTTCTAAATCCCTTCCCACGAACTCCCCTGAAGCAGCCCTATTAAAAAGTAAATCAAGCCTGCCTGCATTAGTGATCCAGCTACCAACACACCCTGCCCTTCATTGTTTGTGTTCTTTTCCCTGTTCAGGACTTGAATGGCAGCCAAGGGGAGGGCTCCCACCTCCTAAACCAACTGTAAACTAGGGAGCGGGAATCAACTGACACCAAACAAATTAGAATAATTACTGAGTAGGACAGAGTATTTGACTAACGATGAGGTCAGTTTAGCACTGCAGATTAATTTCCCTGTGGTTTTATTTTGTGTTTTCGCCCTTTTAATATCTCTACTGCATGAATCAGACATTCTCTAAGTTTCTGTTGTTGTTTTACCTTCCACGCTGTATTGTGTTCCAAACCACCTCTCTTTTAGATGACACTGGCCTTCATTGGCAGCAGACAGCAAAACGAGGTTGGCTCTCTGAGGACTGAGCTGGTTAAGGGCATCAGCAATGATCTACAAGTTCAAGACAATACTTCAGTTCAAATGCAACTCTGGCTCTGCCTGACCCAGCAAAGACTTCTCAGTTGGAACACAGGAAGAACAAGACATAACAAGCTTACAAAAAAAGGCGATTTGCTTTCTGAGTATAAAAAATGCTTCAATTAATATAAAAACTGTGCCTGTATTATGCCTAATTATAAGTGCCTACATACATGCCTATATTATACAGTATGCTCATATTTTCCTTACATCAAAACATGTAATCAGAGTTCAAAGAATATTTACCTCAGGCTTATATTCAAACAAGAGTTGGTCTCCTGTCAGAAAATCCTCCTTCTGAAACAACTGCATGTTCTCACAAAGGCTTTCCACATAATCAACTGGATCTGTCTGTAAGCAAATAAAGCAAGCTATTTTTCACATAATCAGAAAACTAAAATATCAATTTTCTGTTCTGAGAAGAGCTTGACTGGTTGGGTACGTTGAGCATGAGTTGCATGCTATGTTTGTTATGGCATTTGCTTTCAGTTATTAAATTAAATATATTTCATAACCATATCTAAGGCTCAGGACTCCTCTGAGAATCCTGAAATATCAGACACATCACCTTTGTAGAATAAACCTTGAGCATGCAGTTTACAGTCATTAAACCTACTAGGTTAAAGACCCAGTAGAATGCACTCTTTGCCTCTGGGGAACAGAAGCAGAGTCCTGCAATTCAAGATTTAAAGTGATCTAGAACCTGGAAAGAGCAAGCCAAGGAACTGCTGCTGCTGCATGAATATCTCAGATTCTGCTCCTTTCTTAAGTTCTCAGCCACAACGTGAGGAGGAATAGAGTCTACTATTCAGACATGGGAGTATAGATTGTCTTTTAGCAGTGTAAGATTGCCTAGTGGAGAGCATTTTGCTGAGTGCTTTCGGGTTTTTTTGAACCAGCCAGCATCATACTGTAAAAGATGCTGGGTCCAGATAGAGACCATACTTTGCTTGAAAAAAGGAGAGTTTGACACATCTGTGTCTTATAAACGTAGTGGAAAACACAACCAAGAATTTATTAAGACACTCTACACCTGAGGAAACATTAGACCTCTCGTGGGGCACGTAACTGCTTAGCCCAAAGCCATGCCTCTGTGACCATTATTCTCTAGAATGTGCACATACCAGCTCTTTCCAACAACCAGAAGAGTGGGGTGCCATGACTGAGTCATTCGTCTGTTCCTAAGATGCATGATCCTGTCACAAAAGCACACACACACATCTCTGTTCCTTCCTTTCTGAATTAAATCCCTGCACTGTCAGTAACCTCTTAACGATCACTCAAAATCAACTGGCCAAAAAAGCAGGACTCTTAACAGCAGGTATTTCCCCAGTGTAAACTCGGGTGTTTTCTATCCCCCCCTGGCTTGCTACTGGGAAGTACACAGTCTGTTAGAGCAGTAACAGTTTTGGGGAACATAAAATTCTAGCTGGGAGTACTAAGAAGAACCAAGACAACAAGTAAGAACCTTTCAGGACTAAATAGCTTTGCTTTGATGAAAAAGTCAAACTTTAAACTGGACAACCTCTGTTGGCAATGATTAAAGACAGAATCATAAAACTGTATGTAGGGCAACAGACATTCATTCCTGTTATGTCTGATCTACTAAATAGCCATCCTTCACAGATTTTTAGTTCTTCTCTACTGTTCTGGGGAAAGCTTTTGTTAGGAGAAGACAGTCTGCTTTAATCTCATAATAGTTGAATTGCTAACGAATTCATAAAAGTTGTATTCCACTAAAAAAACCACCACATGGCAATTTAAAAAGATGCATTTGTAAATCAGTGTAAACTTGTTCCTACCAAAGAAATCCACCGCTCTGTTATCTATCACTTAGGGTTGCTGGCAGCAGTCCTAGCTGTCTGTATCACTTCCAAATACCACTTCTGCTATCCAAAGGCCACTCAACACTCAATATCCCCCATATGTTATTTTGAAGGCAGAGCTACAGATGCAAGGATCTGCTAAAAATGGTATTTCTAGCATCCTGATGCTCACAGCAGACTGGTGGGTCTTAAGAGTGTCTGAAAATACTTGGAGCATCTGGAAAGAAAAAACCTCCAATTTCAGTATTTCCTATTATTTTTTTTCTCCTTCCTGCATCTGTGTACCTTAAAGAAACCAAACTTCAGTGACGCTTTCATGCCATATATGTAGTATATGGATCTGTTTTCGCAAAAGTAAATTTTAGCGCCATTCAAAAAAACCCAAGTTACCTAGTAAGAAACAGAACATGGCTAAATGTAGTCAATGAAGTGAGACTTCTCAAATTATCTAAATTGTCTTCCCTTCTTTTTCTTTATCTTTAATAAAAACAAGTAAGACTTTTTGTTAATTGCTGTTTCAATAAGCCAAGGAAGATTTGACACAAACCCACATTTAGCTGTGTAATGTGTTAACAGCAGAGAAGGGGGTCATTAGCATCCGGGCCTTTGGGAGGCCAGGTCACCAGCAAGCCACACCTTTCACACAACATTACTTCTCTATTCCCAGAAATCAGCAGTACCAAAACAGCTTAAAGGAAGTTATATCAGGCAAAAATACTGAAAACAATTTGCAGAGCACTATTAATGGGCACAGAACTTCACACCCAAGGGACTAATGATTAAAACTGAAAAAGAGCCTACCTACCAGGTAGAGAATGAAAAAAGTAACATTTAATTCTGATAAAGTCACAATATTTCTCTGCATAGAATACAAATTCTTTCAGCAAAATACAGCCTCATTAAGTGCATAATCTGTTTCTGGTTGAACAGAAATTTGAAAACGTGTTTCAAAATTAACAAGAAATCTTTTTTATGGGTTACCTATATCAACACAAAACAGTGGATGAATACCTGTTCCTGGTAGTGAAATTCATTAGCTTCAATCTTCTGGATTTCTTCCCATATTCTGTAAAGGAGGGAGAATAGAATAGAAGTGGATTTCCTCCGTTATTCCACAACATTTATCAGGAATCTGAAAAAAAGCGGTCTTCTAGGAAAGGGTGAGTTCAGTGATTCATTGAAGTACAAGACATAGAAGCCAGCATTACACACACTTCCCTTCCATACAGAAGGGCATTTGAAGTTCTGCTATTTTCCAAAAGAGGAACAGACTTAACTAACAAGGAATCAAAATCTGATACCAAATTAACATAAAGGCTAACACCAGACACCACAGTCCTGACTTACACAGATCTGACTCAACAAATTTATTTAAATAAACACAAACCTGTACCTAACATCTACACTAGTTCAGCTCATTAAAATTAGAAATTGGATCACAATAAATCAAACTAAAAGCACCATGAAACAAGTATAAACATTTAGCAAATTCATTTTGAAACCTTTTTAAACTGATAGGTTCCCCACACAGACAAGCTTTACTACTGACTCACTGTTTATGCTCTAGTAGCTCCACAAAAATTGCAAATACTACAAATAAAAGGCTAATGGAGAAGGACAATCTCACAAATAACCTGATGTAGCGGCAAACACTTGCCTTTTTTCTGGCCCTCTTTTCTGCAGCATCTTCACATACTGAAATACAACATGGGCCACCTGCAGACAGAAAGGAACAGATTAATTTTTCCAGACATTAAGAAAACAGTAAGAAAATCAAGTTGCAGTAAACCATACCTCATAGAAGTGCTTGTAACCTTCATCGGTCAAAGTCACAGAAATGCTGAAGATGGAGTAAGTAGAGTTCTGCTCAAATCCTGTCTCACCATTTCCTCCATATAATGCAAGAGCCCAAAATCTATGGAAGAGTTAAGAGTTACTTACTAATTGCTCATTTCAGCTTTATTTGAGCTTAGTTACAATTAGCTTTACTTCAATGGCTTTCAATCCGTTTACAGTTTACACAAAGCTTCTCCAACATAAAGATGTGAACCTCAGGATACAGAACTTATGAAAAACAGTGAAAAAGCCAAGTTACCTTTTCAAGATCTCCAGTCACAGATACTGCTGATCCATGGATCACAGACCAAAACCCACTTATTTCTTACTTGTGTCTTTCAATTTAAAGAATATCACTACAAAAAGGCAGACTTGGGCTGCTTTTATATAGAGAGAAAATATAGATACACAAAATAGAGTTTGCCTTTATTTTAATGATGGCAAAGCATTTAATAATTATGCTTTAAAAAATACATACTTTTTCCTTAGGAAAGAAAGAACACTGCCTTTGCCTTCATGTCCCACCAACCAGGAAATATAGTGAAGAGGCTTCACCCTAAAAGAAAATTTGAAGGAGATTAAATGCCAAGAGGTAATACTTTTCACAGAAAGAACTCAAATCACTAGACAAATGACTAAAATAGACACTGTCTGTTTCTTCGTGGCAAGTTTTGCATTTTCTGGCAGCATTAGGATAATAAGCTAAAAATGTAGCAGTTCAGAACATAATGACTGATCTGAGTCAGTGAGGAATGACGTTAAATAAGCTGTGTACCAATTCCACTCAATTTATAAAAGGAACCATATCTGCATCAGTTTAATTAATTTAAAAAATGTTCCCCTAGCTGAATCAAAGTAATCTGTAACACAAAGGAGATTCTTTGGTTTGCTGTGAAAGTCAATAAATTATTTACAACATAAACATGGTAGAAGTAAAATGCAGCACCACCGTACCTGTAATACTGTTCTTGTGGAGGAAGCGCCCAAGTGATACTCAGTGAATGAACTTTCCTGATTGGAACAACTGAACACAAATAAATTTATTGAATATAAATATACATGATTAGACATAAATAAGAAATTCTACGTGATGCAGAAAGAATGGTTAAAAGTTATTCAGAACCACACAGAATTATTCTCACAGAGAAAATATGAAGCTACGTATTCAAAACATTTAAACACATTATTTTACTTACCTCTGTAAAGCTTGTGAAATTCTGGTGTGTCAAAAGGCTGAGTCAGATGGCCAAAGCTGGGTTTGGGTAAGCCACTTAAAAGCAAAATTAAAGTGTGATGTTACTGGCAAGGACTCAAGGCTACACTGAGATAATCACAAGACGTAAGCATCCATAGCTCTGACATGACAGAGGCGGTACACCAGACAAGTAGAAAATGGCCCTTAACAAAGGGTGCAGCCCAAAATCCACCCAGCCCAAAGTGGAAGGCAACCTGGCATTCACTTGCACTCTGCCCAGACAGCAGAGTAATTACCCAAGATTTAGATGCCCCATCAATTCCTCCCTCTCCTTCTGTCCAAGGCAGTAACAATAAAAAACTTGCTTTTGTAACAGGGGAAAGGAAAGCCAGGCACACTAAACAACCTCCTGAGTTGGCCCTGGATTCACAGAACCCTGATGGATTGTCTTGTGGGGAAGAAGGAAAGAGAAGGACAGGGGTTGAGAGAGACAAATGTGTCTCTGTATGACATTAGACTTTCACAAGTGCATTTCCATGCACCACAGAAATAAACATCTTGCAAAAGCAGAAAATGAAAAGGGAAATAAAATGCTTTTCAAGTTAGTAAAGCTTTTGCAGAATCCCCTTTTTAGACAGCACATTGGAGTGATTTATTAAAAAAAAAGGTCAGGTTCTACCCAGTTGCCACCCTGAGATTGATGCTTAAATTCAAGGTATGGTCTTAATTTATTTTGCTGCTAATTATTTTTGACATAAAGCAAAGATAAGAAATGTAAAATGATAATCTAGGTTTGAGTGATTTATCATAGAATCAAGGTATCAGTATGAATTAAGCAAACTGCTGCAAGTTAGCACCACACAGCTTGCAGGCTAAATAATTGTTAAGCAAAACAAAGTCTTCCTGAAACAATTAATGCCAGTCTTTAATTTCCAAAGTTGCCCATTTTTTTTTCTGGATAAGGATGTTCATTAACAAATGTTAGTTTCCTTAACTTCTCCTGTAAGGGATGTTTTTTAAAAACAGTAATTTTAAGAACAGATAATTTTATAATTTCTCATGCCTTTATGGATCAAAAGAATCTTACTTATTTGGGATCTCAGAGAAGATTTCTGTCACCCACTTTTCCAATGTATCCAGTGTTTCTAATAAGGAGAGAAAACAAGAAAGCCAGAAATGTAATTGCCTGAAGATCTAAGACAAATTCTTTATCTTATCTCACCAGTTATTTTAAAGAGGCTGCAAGTCAGTGTATTTTAAAGTTGCCAAGTTCTAAATTACAAGCTTCAAAGCTGTCGGTTTGAGCCAATTCTTAATATTCACTGAACTGTATCTTTGGTCATAGCTCTGGTTTTGTATATATTGCTGAAATCTCAGGTAGATGCAACTGGGATTTAAAGTTCAGTAGTATCTGGCGTGACTGTGAAAAGGAATTACCATCATAAGGATCTACGAAATCACCAGTACTTGCTACTCATTCTATCCCTCTAGATCCAGAACATCTGCAGCAGTTTTCACACCTAAACACAGTCCTACAATGCTAAGAATTCCTTCCCCCCCATCCTCTCTTTCCTAAAGGAAATGTGTCAAGAACCAGCAGTTTAATATTTTTTTTAAATGACCAATGGAAGATTGCTTGTTTAAGTGAGCATTCTGTATTCCAAGAGTGATGCAGTATATGCTAAACAACAACAAAAAATGCAGCGGGTGGGAGAGGGGGGAGAAGAGATGGGGACGGGACTCAGTTTCTTTTCTTTTAACAGAGATAGAAATGCAAAGTTGACCTAGCTGGCTATCAGTTCCCATGCTTTTCTTCCCAATCACCAGAAGAAACAACATTACAATCCATCGCTATGTAAATGATTGTTCAAGAGGCATTCAATGCCCTAAGAATTTTACAGTCTAGACAGAAAAGAAAAGCATAGAAGAAGAAAAGAGTTGCCGCCTTTATTATTACCAACCCCATTTTACAGATGGGAATTGCAATCAGCTTCAGCATTCAACAAAACCCCTAAGCACAAACCTAACTTGAATGCACACAATTATTTATTTTCAGCACAGGTCTTTCCTACATGCTTAACTTCTAAGAAATGTATTTCTTTTATTCTCAGCAGAAATGACCCACAGGTCTGAAATTCTTTGCTGAAAGGAAACTCAATACCATTTGCACAAGATTTTTCAGTCTACAGGGAAAAAACTTAGAATCTCTATTCTTCCAAGAGGAATGTGTTTTATTTTAAGACCTCAATTGAAAGAGCCCCAAACATAACAAGACAACTGAGAGAACGAGTCTCAGTTTCCCCATCATTTTCTGTGGAGGTTCACTGTTGATGGCAGAGAAACCAGTAGCATTAAGTCATTTAAGTGGTCTGACTCTACATTCCTACAAAATTATTTTTTAAATATATCTTTGAGATTTTACATTCTATGTTAACCTGGAACCTATTCAACAGTTTCAATTAAAAGCTTGTCAAGAAGTGGCAGGATGACAATAACACAGCACAATTGCTCAAGTTTCATTTGCAAACCAGGCTAAAATCTACATATAAATACCTCCTGCAGGACTGGACAACCCACTAAACCAGCTTGGGCTACAGCTGAACTGGTGCCAAAAGCACTACACCAACAGCAGCAATGAGCTTGTTTTTAAGGAACAACTGATGTTACCTTTAGATTGGACAACTAAAGTCATATAGTGAGCAGAGTAATGGCGCTGCCAGAAGTCCCTCAGTCTGGTGTAGGTATCAATATTATTCATTTTGGGCTCATGCTTGAGTGTATCCGCATTACCTGTAAACATTAAAATGTGGTTAGTTATCTAGACATCGGTTACGTCAAGACCAGATATACCGAGAATTTCTTTTTCTCCCCTGGCACTGAGTCTAGTCATGGTAAGGACATTAAAAATACCTAATAGAAATCTGGAGTTAAAGGAATGTTAACTGAAATTTAGTATCTTCCAATTTCTGGTTCCTATTACAAGGACAGTTGGTATTTATATGACAAGGGAGGACAGAGTCCTCTTGCATTCTCAGATCACCCATACCGCATACTGCACAGCACACTGTGTTGCCAGCTACTCCCTCACAAATGGAACTTCCAGAACAGGGGAGAGGAAAATATGATGTTCAGTATATGTCACTACAGAACTTTATAAAAGTTATCTACATTTCAAAGCTGGCTAACCGTACTACCCATCACACTGCAACTTACATGCTCACCAGCATCACAAGGGGGAGGGAGCTAGGACTCTGTATTATCCAGGAGAGGAAGGACAAATTTCCTTTCTGCTCCACTCACATGGCTGTGAAAGTCTACTTCTGCAAGTTCAATGGTGAATTATTTATTTTGAAAAGCCTCCTTAGACACAAATCCAGAAACACTTTACTTTTCCAGGAAATTTTAATAGCAAAAAACAAGCTTAAGCAAGACAGAGATGACTCCCTTTATATTAACAGAAAGCTACACGATTATATGCCTAGGGCAACCCAGATTTAACACCAGCAAAAAGCAGTACCAGAATGAAAAGTATCTTAAGGCAGCAGACAGCTGCATTTATTCCTGAACGTTTTACTGTAAAATGAATAATTGCTCTAATATTTCTCAGCAAGGCTAGTGTGATAAGATAGCTCATGCTAGTGCCTCTTAAGTGGTTAAAAGTTTACATATTATCACCACTTTACAACATAAATTCAGAACTTACCCCAGAAAAATTTCTTCATAGGATGTCCAGGCCTGGCAAGACTCCCAAATAGCATCTCCTTCCTGTTTGCATCAGAGGGTCTTGCTAGCTGATACTCTGTTAATTTAAAGAATTTGCAGTGGCATGCATCAAAATTTGAGGTCGTGTTCCCCCAAAACAAAACAACAACCCCAATCAAACTGAAAAGGAGATATAACACACAGATGTAGACTGAAATAGTTTTGTTTTAATGTGTGATGAAGTAGTGAAATAGGATAAGAAACAGGACTTGCTAGCAGTAATGAATATAAGTCAAGAGAAGACAAAACCGTAGTTCGTTGCCAAGAAGTACAGAAAGGGATAAGGATGGGAAGCATGTAAAGTCCCAACTTGTCCCATCAGAATGCTCTTAATCCAAGAAATTTAACAGGAACATAAGGCCACCAATATTCTACAGAGTCAGGCCCTGCAGAAAGGGCCAGAGAACAGTTACAAACCTGGTTCTCCCATATATCACATAGAACAACTTTTAGCCTAATAATGAAATAAGAAATTGAAAGCCAAGCAAGGCAGTTTCCAGAAATGCAGTTTCACAATCAGCTTATGCTAATCTAAATATGGCATTCTGCCAAAATCAGGAATTCACTCTCTCAAACTGCATTTTCCTGTTCCTGTTTTTGCTGGTAATAAGAAACATGCACAGGAGAGCTGTAAAATAATTATTTTGCCTGGGTTAGTCTGCAAGCAGTTCATCAAGCTGACACAGTTTACTGGGCAGCTCATTACTACAGTGTCAGTACAAGGGAAGGAGTGGGTCTGCATGATGAAGGCAGTGCAAGCAAAGGCGTAAGAGTTGAAGAAACCACACCTTAACTCAAAGACAGGTCCTTGTTTACACTGACACTTATTTAAATTCAAAGATCAAATTGCTCAGTTTTCCTTGTCAGAAGACAGATGAAGATGATTTGGATTACAGATCTGAACCCGTCAGTATATCTGCCAATAACATTTTTTCTCTCAAACAGTGGAGTTTTATAGGCAGCCTCAAAGTACTCATAACATACTTGAAAATCAAGTGAACACTCTGCTCCCTTCTATGCAAGGTTCAATTTCCTTCTGTGAAGCAAATTTGTAGTTATTAAGGTGTTAGAATAAGGAGACAAGCACAATGACCTTGACTTATTGTATTTACTCCACAGATGACTGTAGAGAGCACTAGGGCTCTGCTGGAGCTATAGACATGGTGTTCCCTGTTTCTTTAAGAAGATGGGCCAAACACACAAAAAAGATAGTCTTACCGCTGTCTACAGCCTCAACTTCTCGGTCTATTGCATCCCTGATCATTAGCGGGTGAATGAAGAATTGTGCCCACCTACGAAACAGAAAAATTCATAGGCTTTTCTTCAGTGTCTATTAAGCTAGGGCAAAAAACCAACAGTTAAAACCAACATCCACTACTTTTAGTTTAGAACGTTGCTTGTCTTACTACAAATTATAGAATCATAGAATCGTTTAGGTTGGAAAAGACCTTCAAGATCATCAAGTCCAACTGTTATGTCATTCTTGACTGTACTGTCTTAAGGAAAGATAAAAGCCAGTTTTGTGATAGCATCAAAAACCAAAGGGCAGGGCTCCCATGCTCCACAGAGTAAGAATGAATTGGTTGGATACAGTAGGGTATGACACTAATAGATGTGGGAGTATCTGCCTTTACATCCTGAGCATGATCATACCAGACCAGACAAGTGATCCACCTAGTCTGGTTCCTGGCTCTAACAGGGACCAGTATCAGATGCCTCAGAGGAAATCCTTGGTTGTTCACTAAGAACAACATGACCATACGGAAAGTTTCTTCCTAACTCCAGGCAACAAATTTTTGATTTATGTCCTGAAACAAGTTTTTATATCCATTACAATTTTATTATCTATTATAAAAGTCAGTGTTGTCATCCAGATACATATCTTCTTCTGTACCCATACAGAGCAGAGCAATAGAGAGGGACAAATCTGCAATGAATGGAGACTCTGCAGAAGGCTGCCAGAGAATCTAATATTTCTATTTTATTTGTTGAATTTTTTTAATGATGCACTGAACTTGGTGAAGCAAAAGGTCAACGGTCACACATTGTTGACAGAGTTCTATGGCTACAGGACCTATTAAGATAAAGACTATTGAAAGGTGATGTCTTTCGATTTCTTTAGATCCACAAGTGCTTGAATGAGCAGAAATCATCAGCAGCATCCGTTTATCTTCTTTCTATGAGATCCTGTTCTACAGAACTCGTAATTGGTGTGTTCCCCTCAACTAAGTGAGCTGCTGTGACAGATTGCAATTATATTTTTTTGATTATTCTGTTCTTCCAAACATCTAAAAGCTGAACTAATCTGTAAATGAAAGCTGAATTTGGCCCAGTAAAGTAAAATTTAGGCAACACTTGCTACAATGTGCAAACAATTGTTCTTGGAGCCACCACAGGAACGTACTTTGATCAGAGTAAGTTCATAGTGGAGTCCACTCTCCTCCTGAGGTACTTTACAGCATCAGGACTACTCAGCTGACATTCCCCTGTGAACAAGTAATTTCCTCTCACTGAAGGAAACCAAGCCAACAGGTGGAGCCCTGTCGCACTAACATATCCCATAGCAACAAGGAGCAAGCTAAATACTTCCTGGCAAAAGATACATACTTGATTGAATAACCTGGACCGGGTTAAAACGTATCCTTCTGAGGCACACATTGTACCACAACTTTCAAGGCCACCCTTCACACTTCCACCCACTTTGATGAATTAGACTTGGAACAAAAACAAAACCAAAAAATTAAAAAAAAACCCCACTAACTCTACTAGGACAGATATTTCAAAGGATGAATCACTGGGATTCTGGGAGCATTTACCCTCCAAACAGTTGTGACACTGCATAAAATTTCTCCTGTCATCAATGCTACTAGTTAAAGGGTGGTAAAACAATCAAAAAGCTACATGCATTAAGACTTACATGTGGATCTTAAGTAATCACAGAGCAGCTACATAGGCACTATCTCAAAAACCAGTACGATATTCAAAGGGAAATCATATTTCCTTATATTCGATATCCTCTGTGATAGTAGGAGTACCTATGGAAGTTCAGCAACAGCCTTAATCACCCCAAAATGAAGAACTGAACATGCTTGAGGCACACACAAACATTCATTAACACCTAATCACCATTTATGTGAAGTTACCTATCAAGCGCTTCTTTGAAGTACTTCCTCTGCACATCAAACTGGAAGACAGTCCGCTCGCAGTCAGTCGAAGCATTGTCGCTGCCCCCATGTTTCTTCAGAAATGCATCAAACCCATTCTCATCTGGGTACTTCAAACTGCCCATAAAAACCACTGGAACAAAAATCAGCGAAATTGCCAAGATGATATGAATTTGATGACATTAACTGCAGCTATAGCAACCCCTCTTCAGCACAGTGTTACCTACAACTGACCTACAGCTCACCTGCAGAGGCTAACTACTAAATAGCAACAGACTAACGCAACAGAATGTAACCTGCCTTTAGCAGAAGGCCCAAATAGACTGGAAATAACAGTGCCTTTCTAAGCACGATTGGCCTCACTCAGTCAAGAGTAGCATTTTAAGATAAATCTGGTCAGAAACTTCACATGCTTTCCGTGCCTGTTAGTAATAACTCATCATCATTTACTAGAGAGCTAAAGGTCTGTAGCTCCAGCCTAGTTTATAAAAACATAGGTAACATGCTTCCCCACCCCGTTTAATGCACTGCCTGCCAAAGAGTATGAGACACCTTCTCCCATATTAAGAGTTCTTTATTAAATCAGTATTTTTATAAAAACACAAATTAGTTGAACTAATGAAAATAAGTTATGGGGTAGCTGAAATAAGAAATGATAACTAAAATACTACACAAATTCAGAGCTAGGTAGCAGTCATTTTGCACGGCAGTTGGAGAAGATGAAATGGGAGCAGATACATACTATGTTCCAGGAAGTGTGCTAATCCAGGCAAATCTTCGGGATCAGAGAAGCTGCCAACAGCAACGCACAGGGCTGCTGCAGACTAGAGAAAATACAACACCCTCAGTAAAAGCTGCTTCAAGAAACACTTCAGGAAAATGACAGAAGTCTAAGATAAATCAATCAGAACAGGCAGAATAAAAAGCTCTAGTCCAATTGCCTAATCACAAGGTTTCAGAGCACAAGAAAGCGCATTGTATTTTTTCACCCTATAGCTTTAAGTACATACCTGCTTTTCTGTACAGCCTCTCTTTCTTGTCTCTTCCTTTTCAGCTAGCTCTTCTAATTCACTGTCATCAGGATCATTGAAATCATCATTATCTCCATCGTCATCCTCACCTTCCTCCTCATCATCACAGTCCTCATCATCAAAACCTTCTCTACCATCTTCAATCTCAGCTCCAGAGTCATCATCTTCATCACTTTCCTCTTCAGATTCATCATCATCATCATCGTTGTCGTCGTCCTCCTCCTCCTCCTCCTCTGAAGATAAAGCAGCTGGGGCACCATCCAAATAATTCAAATCCGAAATCAAAAGTGCACATAAGCCATTCTGCAGTTTGATATACCTGAAAGAATAATTATTTGCAATGAATACACTCATTTCCCAAATCTGAATTTTCAGAATCACAAAAAATTCTATGTTTCCTACAATAGTTCTGTGCTCTTCAACTGAGATTTCCTAATGAAAATCTAATGTTAGCTAAGAAGGTGAGTGGTTTTATAGTCTCAAAGTAAAAACACTCTTCTGCTATTCAACTGCTATAAGAATATTAAAGAAGAAACTCAAGGTAGGAGCAGAAGCCCTTCTCCCCGTAAGGTCAGGGACACCGATCTGGGCTTTTATTTCTCTCTATGTGAAATATTAAGCTACTAGCAACCACTCAGAGAAAACTTCAGGTACTCAGAATAGACAAACCCAAACTTCAATAGCTTGTTACGCTTCTCAGGCTCTTGGAAACACGTATTATGTGACAGAAGTAAGATCTTAGTCTTTGCCTCTAAACAGGCCCCAGGGACTCCATTTTATTTGCTTTTATCAGTGCTTTCTATTAAATGGGGCCCACAGACGTAACAGGCATGCGTTAGAAAGGACAGATCTTCTCCGCAGGCTTAATAAAATAAGTTACAGTGAGTTGGTTGAGTTGCTATCAGGATGCAATATACACAGAGTTCTCTGTGTGTGTGTGTAGACATACATATATGTGTATATATAAACATAGAATTTTTTATATATGTGTGTGCATATGTATGCACACACATATATAAAAAATTCTGTGTTGGGCTTGTGGGTTTATATATATATATACATAAAAACCCACAAGCCCTCAGTCCAGCACTCTTTGACAACTTTTCAGGCTGAGGCATATATACACATAGAATTTTTTATATATGTGTGTGCATATATATATATATAAACCCACAAGCCCTCGGTCCAGCACTCTTTGACAACTTTTCAGGCTGAGGACTGCAAACACCAATGCTTTGTGCTGCAAGATCTCTCACCAATATTAGTTTTGAATGAGATCAGGAATAGTCACAACTTGTTGAATTAGCCAGAGCATGCCCTCTAGGAGCTTGAGCTGCAGAAAGGAAGGAATGCTGGACCCAGAAAACACTTGATCCAACCTAAGAACTACTGTGATATAGACAGGTGGTATCTGATCCAGCAGAAAAACCTGCTGTTACAAAACAAACCCATGGTCACAGCCCACGCTCGCAGAAAAATCTGAGTTACACAGCAAGATTACAGCAGATCAGAACTTTACAATGTGGCCACTGTTATAATTAGGTAGCAGAAATTTCAAAGCAGATTTCCAGCTTAAGCTACATGATAAGTACCCAAAAGAAAAATGAAAGGCACATTGTGTGTTTTCCAACTCCATGATTCCCAAAGTTTCTCTTACGAAATTTCTCACATACTTTATTCATGGCTATTGTTACACTATTTCAGTGTTTCCCAGCAATAAAAGCATGTGTTACTATCAATATTCCAATTCAAAATATCAAGTGAGTGCAAGTTTCACTTTTTACTAGAGCTGCAGGCCATTGCTCTGCAAACCACAGACCAGCTTGGAAACTAATTACTTGAAGCACTTCTCTCCCAGCTGAATTTCATGGGGACATATTTGAAGGAAAGGGGTAAACAGGGTACTGTGACAACAGTTAAGCAGTTCTGAGACAAAGGAAGTCCCATGCTTCTTGGACTACAAAGCCTATGAAAAAGAGCTAAAGAACAAATGTTTAATAGTTGTGTTGTTTATGAATTATGACCACTCATCCAACAGGAATTGATAGCACTTACTCTGGGCGAGGGTTTCATAATCATTAACACACCCATTTTGCTTGCTGCAGGACGCCTCAGCAGTACAAATTTGTTCCAATCAAAAACACAAGTGCATTTTTGTTCATTTAGATTACAGCACACGGTGTATAACTTGCAAAGGTGCTATGATTAACTGCAGGAGGTACAGTTAGTACTAGATCTACATTAACATCTGGGTACAAAGGTAATAATCCATACAATTCTGAAAGGTTGGAACAGCTACGTGTCTTTGCACCGCACACATGTTGCATTATGCAGCTGCAGCACTTCTGAATTCACAACAGGGGTCCTAAAAACAGATATACAGTACACTCTGGAACTTCAGCTCCCAGAGAGGTCAGAGCAAGAGCCCCATACGGTGACAAGTCAACATTGCTACAGCATGTCTTCCAGCACAACCACCATCTTCTTCACCTCTGCATACAACTGTCTTCGGGTTTTCATGGCCCATAAGGAATACTTATGATCGACAGTCACGGACAGCAGAGAACAGCATAGTGCTGTTCTTCCAGAAGAACGATTTGCCATAAAGCTGTTTAGCCAGGTGTATCCAGTAGCTCCTGTTGATTCTTTCCACATACCTCCATTAAACTGATGGAGCAGATGATGCTAATTCTACATTACTCATCTTCAGGCTTGTGGGTGTTACATACTATGTGACAGAAAGCACCGAGTAGCAAGGTAACAACTGAACTAAACTGCTGTTGGCGGCTATCAGATTTCACTTCAGGAGAATCTAGAACAGTTTAGGTTATACTGAGCAGAGGCACCAACTGACAAGGTGTTCTTTACTTTTTCCATGTTTCAGTCCAATGGAAAAGGACAAGTGTAATCAATACATAAGTATCAATTAGTATGCAAAATACAGGACAAAGGATGCAATCACTTAATGTAGCAACAGAAGCAAGTCCAATTGGTTTTTTTGAAGGACTGTACAAACATTGATACAAGTAAGGCTTAAATATAAAATAGAATTCAAATTCTTAATGACACTTTTTAAACATCCTGGACAAGTTTCAACAGGATTGTTCTCACACCAAGTTTTTTCTTATACCAGTGATAATCGTTTAGCAGTTAAGTAAATGTTGAAATATGTATCAATGCATGGTAAACACTTAGAGAAATGTTTTCATTTCCCAAACTACCCAAAACAAGCAATACAAGCTGATGAAATTCCACATATGGATTAATTTCAATGGAACATACATTTTGGTAAAGAAAACTCAGTAAAGGTAAGGACCCACTCATAGCTCTAATGAACAAAGCCAACTTTGGTTACGACTATAATTTTTGTCCCAGCAAACTCACTTTTGAAAGTATATTCTGCAATCTGTCAGAACTCTTTTGGGTTTTTATGATCACTGTATTTGAGAAGATAAAACATAACATTTCCCACTAAGTTAAGACTGATGTCACCAGACGGACACACTAAGCCCACTGTGACTGGTCTGCAGTATACCTCATCACTGATGCATGAACAGAGGAGAAAGTATATATGCATTGCAAAACCACCTGCCATTAAATTTACTTCGGAGGTTTGGTATATAGTTAGTGGACATAGGTATGCTTTACTTTCAGCCACACTGATGTTTTCCTTCCCAAGGGTAACGTTTATGTCTGTTCTGTGCAAGGCTCACTTCTGAAAAGATGTGACAGTCTGCTTCCAAATGAAAAAAAAAGAAATAAAAATCTGTTAAGCACAGAGCATAGGATTTCTGGAAGATGTTGGTATTAGTTTATTCTATGCTATAAGCAAACATGCTCTGAAATTCTCTACACACAGAGGAGGTTCCTGAGCCTCTAAACAGATAGCCAGTGACAGTTTTCAGTGGATTTCCCAAGCTTCATCACTGTGCTGCTTCAGGTTGTAAAGACGGAAGTTTCCCATGCTGACAGTCTCTGTAACAGTGAACTCTGCAGGAAGACAAGCCTCCTGCACAGCAGCATGCGTAAAAATGCCAGCAGGAGAGGCACGCAGAGATCCAGAGGAAGCAGCAAGGAAGTAGGGCAAGAAGGGAGGGAACAAGTTTCTCCCTAAGCCAATGGGCACAGTCCTCTTCATGCAGCCAGCAGGGAATTTCACTGTCAACCAATGTCACTGCAAATCCAAAATTCAGTTCCAGGCTTAGGCAGATTCTCCACTGGCTGCACAGATTAGACATCATGAAGAGTAAAGATAAAAAAAAGCATCTCTAACAAGGGCTGAACAATCTTCTGCCAAACAGAAAGAAGTTATAACAGCAGCCCTTCAGGAATGGCTGCCTTACAGCATCCAAACAGCTCAACCTCTGCTGGCCACTCTCAGCCGAGCCTCTCACTGTAAGAAGGCCACAGACACCGTGTCCCATGCTCAGGGAAGGGATCTTTTTTAGCACTTTCAGGGATATTACTCAGAAACAGACGAACGAAAACACAAGCAAAATGGCAGCGTAAAAATAATTGTCTCAACTCACAGACATATTTGTGCTAAAACTTAGACGGTCATCTGAAACGGGAAGAGTAATAGGCTTTTTTAAAGTGGGCATCTGCTCTGTAATACTTCAACCGCATTTCACACTTCAGCTTAACACTTTCAGAACAGAGCTGCCTGGACGAGGGCTGCAGACCAACAATTCCCTATCACCGTGCCTTGAAAACGTAGCATCACAGCACAGCCCTTCAACAAGTCGTGATTTTTTCTTTCTGTGCAAGCCCCGGGCCTGTCTCTGCATACAAACCAGACAGCCCGTCTTCCGAATGCACACACCCGGGACCCACGCTCCTCATTGCTCACCGAGAGGCCCCCAATTCCCCCGCTCACCGAGACGAAGCCGACTTCAAGCGCCTGGGGCTACAGCCGTGCCG